AAAGATTAATTCCCTCAAATATTAAAACATTGCTGATAGGAACATGTATTTGACAGGACATTTTGGGTGGAGAATGACTTCTCACTCAAAAACCCTGACGTGTTCACTTGAGAACCTTTCGGCTTTTAATCGCTAGGTTGATCCAGGCTTGTAAATGACCCCTTTGTGAGAAAAGTAGGTTATTTTGCAAGATCACATTGACCTTATATTTCGTAAAAACGAATTATTATTTTGTAATTACGAATTAATATGTTCGTAAAAACGAATAAGTATTTCGTAAAATCTTATTAATATTTCGTAATTACATGTACATATAATATTTCGAATTAATATTTGAAATTCGTAAAAACGAATTATTATTTCGTAAAAACGAATAAATTGTTCGAAAAAACGAATTAATTTTTCGTAAAAACGAATTAATATTTCTTAAAAACGAATTAATATTTCGTAAAAACGAAATAAATGCCAGGAAATAAAGTGTCGCAAATGTCACCTTAGGGGCTCAGTAAGTACTTGATGAAGCAATCTTTTATATACTTATGCGAAATTTTGAACTAAATATCGAAACAAATATTAATGAAAATCTTATGCAGTAGGTGAAAAATTATACTGAGTGTATCAGCTATTTAGTCTAGGCCAAAAATAGATTCAGCTAGACGATTGAAAAAATCAATGTCTAAATCAAGATAAAAATCTCACTGAAACATTTTATTTATTTTGTAAATTCCGTTGTTGTTCTCGTTTGTTATTTGTTTGTTTCTTTTTTCCAGCATGCATTGTAAGTTAAGAATTAGAACGCATAAGATGCTTATTTACCGGAACAGAAAAGAGATGAATATAACATAGTTTGTGATTATGGTAGTAACATATCAACAAAGTGTTATTATGAGTTACCATACAATGTTATATTCATTGAACAACACTGAAAAATAAAAACAACAATTATTCAAACGAATGAGAAAATCTAACACTTTTAGATATGCTAATGAAAATTGTGGCCTCAGTTAATTCATTAATTAATTAATTCAAAAGGTATTATTATCTTATATCTCAATCTTCTATCTTTATTATAATGATATTACAAAAAAGTAAAACGTAAAAACAAATAGCAAGTTTAAAGACATACGTGTTCATTTATGTATTTATTCATTTTAAAAGTTAAAAGTTTTAATTTAACAATACTTACCCCGAATATTTAAACATTTTAGGTAAAGTATAAAAAAAATAAATTTTAAAAGAGATATTAAAATCATTTGATACTTTTTTAGATATCATGGCAAATAACGTTTTAACTAAATCTCTGCTCCTGTAAATACGCCAAAGATATCACCTAAATATATGCTCTTAACAGATGAAGGGAAGATTTTACCTCTAATGTTAAATGAAATAGTAACGCTAACGTCTTTTGTCTGGTCTATGATTTTTCTGTCGTAAGCGTTAGAAACAAACAATTCCGTAAGTAAATCTTTTGTATCATCTATAGAATATGTTTCAGTAAACGTAAACAAATTAGCACAAGTATAAAACATCCATGCGAATATGATTCCATTTTTCCTTTAAACATTGATGTTTCCCATTTTTAATGTTATTTTTATAACACCACGTCTACCTAGTTCTATTCGAACTTCAGAAATATTTCTTATCAAGGAATCCCTTTTGGTTTGTATTGATCATTACAAAATCTACGATTATCGAAAATTAAAAGTAAAAATGGCGGGGGCGCGGAGCGAAAACTCGCTAGTAAGCGAGGGCGCGGAGCAAGATTAAAGAAATTAAACGGCGGTGTCGCGTGTTTACGTCCCGCGATCCCGCCAAGCGAAAAGTCGAAAATTAACAAGTTAAAATGGCGGGGGCGCGGAACGAACACATGCTAATTATTGAGGGCGGGGAGTGAAGTTAAATAAATAAAACTTCGTTCCGCGGGGGCGCGGTGCGAGATTTAAGAAATAAACGGCGCGGTCACGGGACAAAAACACGCTTATTAGCGAGGGCGCGGGGCGAAGTTTAATAAATAAATCTTTGCCCTGCGCCCCCGCTCATTAGAGTGTTTGCTTTCCGTGACCCCGACAAGCGAAAAGTCGATAAAGTCGACAAGTTAAAATGGCGGGGGCGAGGAACGAAAACACGTTAATTAGCGAGGGCGTGGAGTGAGGTTTAATAAATAAAACTTTGTTCCGCGGGGGCGCGGAGCGAGATTTAAGAAATAAAACGGTGCGGTCACGGGACGAAAACACGCTTATTAGCGAGGGCGCGGGGCGAAGTTTAATAAATAAAACTTTGCCCCGCACCCCCGCTAATTAGAGTTATTTCGTCCCGCGACCCCGCCAAGCGAAAAGTCGATAAATAATAAGTTAAAATGGCGGGGCGCTAATAAGCGTGTTTTCGCTCTGCGCCCCCGACGTTTTATTTCCTAAATCTAGTCCCGCGCACTCGCGGGGCAAATGTTTATTCATTTAAGTCGATCATCATAGTATTAGCTTTTTTTTACGATACGAAAATGTCACAATCAAATAATCATTAAGTATTATGCAGAAACTGTGAATATTATGAAAGAAACCCTATATAAGTGTCTAGTCAGTGAAACTAATGTTTGCTTATCAAACTGTTGGGGTCTTTTCCGGGATAAAATAATACGCGTGATTTCATTGTTCTCTGTTTCTGAGGCGCTTGAAAATCTGTGCAGTCACGTGCACTTTGGCCGAATTTATTTTATGAAATCCCAATAAAAGTATGTCATATATCTAATATTTGTTTCAGATATAAATGTTGTTATCCAGCTGAGAACTTATTCTTAAACTGATTAGATTTGATAGGATTAATGTAGAAGAAAATACTTACTTCAAATATATAAATACAGGTGATTAGCTACGGTATACGCACATTACTACAGATAAGTAATTCATTTCGACATGCATTTTTATCACGAACACTATTAAATAAACGTTATAAAAATCAAACATGTGTTATGCTTTCCACTAGAAGATGCGTATGATTTATCGATTTTCCTCACATTCAAGCAACAGTTCAACAGTACCGGTATTATGTTTCATATGCTGTTACACTTACAGAGAGTGTAATCCGGGACTTTTCAATAAAAAAAACCCTCATCTTATGGGAACATAATTTTGTTTACAAAATAAGATCATAGGCATGATGCTATCGACTTTGTACTACGTACAGCGACAGATGCTTGTGTGTTTCCGAAGAAAACGTTGATGAAGTGGTAACAACGTACAGACTGTGACATATGCATATTACTATGGAATACCGTGAGGGCCATCGTAGTTATACTTTATAATCTAGAGGGCAACAATAAGACAGTGCGATAGAACAAGGACGACAATACAACAGTGCGATGGCGACAATGCTATGCCGACAGTGCAATAATGCGATAGTGTGATGCCGATAATGCGATGCCGACAGTGCGATAATGCAATGGCGACAATACGATAGTGCGATGGTACTAGAAATTTACATCCAGTCATAATTTTATCTATATAATTATCTAAAATAAGAGGTCAGCAATTTTCAGTAGTTTAACTGGTCAGCAGTTTTTCGCATGACGAACATGAATCAATATTGAAGAGCACATCTATCTTGCTATATATCCATTAAATCGAATATCCAACTACCAATACCTACCAATTTTACGCTCCGTGTACTATAAACCTTTAATTTTATTTTTATCAATATATACGATGGGGCATTTTTTGGTATTTGGTAAACCAAACGCCCGAACTATTTCTAAAAGACAGTAAATAAATATGATGAGATAAACAAACATTGCTATACTAGATTCTGTGTCCTCATGTTTTATATATATACAATGTAGTTCTCAAAACAGCTTAAAACTTGCAATGTAAAAGGAAGAAATATTTTTTGTTACAAGTATCAAACAAATTACAACGCATTCAAAGTTTAAAAGTAGCGCTGGCTTATAGAATTGTCAATACATGCACGCGGATGAATATGATTTTAATCAATTAAAATGCTATTTTAGCGATGTCAGGATATATAGGAAAATACATACAGATATACAGTACGATTGCGATAGCAACGATCAGAAAATACCACAGAGCTTGCAGCCCTTTGATTATTAGTTGGGGACAATACTCCGCCTTTCATGGAATGGCACTTCTGTGTCATATTGAAGGTTCCATAATACCCGCGGTTTGAATACATCTGCGGATGTTTCTAAATTCAAATTTTCACCCTTTCATGTTAAAATGCTGAATTCTGCTTAAGACGGTGCAAGGGGACGTAGACGGTAGTTTGCACTTGACATTACCGTCCATAAACAGGGTCAATCAAACCGAGCCTGCACTATTTTCAAGTTTGACGTGTTTGGTTTTAAGGGATGACACTTTCCGTGCCTTCATAACGCGCCGATTAATACGTGCAAATTCATTTTTCTTTACACAATTGAAGACAATTATTGATTGATCGAAAAAAAACCTGGAAACAAAGTGATCCACCGGAAGCATTAATCACAACAAAATTACATGAACATTGCAGACTCGGTTTGAATGAGTCTATACATGAGGGATAATAAATAAGTGCAACATCCCTCACGGCCCCTAGATATTATAGCACAGAAAACAATAAAATACGATAATTAAAATCGGAAAATTTTACATTATATACTTTTAACAGGTTAATTACAAACTGTGAAACGGGTGCCCTTTTGATAAACTATTCTCACAACTTTTCACAGTTAATTGGCGACAGTCGATGTCACGCGTTATACAAACATATGAACACCGGGACAAGTAAAGGTCAAGGGTTTAATTTACGATCTTGATTGAAATTTGAAAGTACAAAAAATACAACATTTCTTCTGTTTTTCGAATGTTCTTATTCGTTTTTAAATGTTCGAATATTCTGTAGTGTTTCGAATATTCAAATATATTCCCCGGCCCTAATCAATCGTTGTTTACATTTTCAATATGCATAACGAATTAACGAAATTACATGACGGGGGAACCACCGCAAACATACTTCTATTTCGCTTTAGAATAACTACGGTATTAAATGAGATGTGTCCCGCGCATGCGCCAATCAGTGTCCTTGCGCTTCCGCAAGTAGTAAAACGTGGTTTTACAAGTTGGGGAATAATTTATCTTTTTTGTGATTAAACGGCTTGAGCGAACGTAGTTCGTTAATTTAAACTGTATTAAATAGTAGCCGTAATTGTTATCGTACGTGGTACGAACATTATTTATTAATTTTGGTGTTATATCGAAGGATATTGGAACTTGAAAATTGCCACACGTGGTGGGGTAATAAAATAACATAATGGCGGATGGCCAAACTAAAAATCAAAAAGACATTGATAATGTCACTAGTGGTAAAGCAAAGTCTAGTTCAACCTCAAGTTCAAGGGGAAAACAGACAGCTCCTAATTTGTCGGAGGATTTACCGTCAACTTCGAAAACTAGTGAAAAGTCGAGTGCTAAAATTGCCGACAAAAATGACGAGATTTTGAATATTTTGAAATCGCTTCGAGCTGAGCAAATAAAAACAAACAGTAAGTTAGAAGCTTGTGAAAACAGGCTCGAACAATTAGAAAATGTAGACTATAGTTATGATTATGATGCATATCAATATGAGCCTGACATGTATGTTGACGAAGAGGCTTCGTTGGCTAGTGCTTCGGAAATATGTCCACCAGTCACTGGAAAGAGAAAAATTGACGATAATAACAACCCTGCAGATAAAAGTGAAAGTTCTGAAGGGTCTAGTCGTTTTGCGAGATTGTCAAAAAGGTTTAAAACAACCGAGGTGTGTGGGTCGGACATAGATCCATTTTTAGCCGACAATGTAAATCATCTGTTCAGACAGGGAATGGAGGAAGATCAGTATTTTGCTATGATCAAGGATGAAGAAAATCCTCGTCCAGGAAATTGTGACAGTCTTGTTACTGTAAAATTAAATCAGTTAGTCTGGGACATAGTGTCGCCAACTGCACGTTCTAGGGACAAGAAGATGCAAAATATGGAAACGACTGTTATTAAAGCAGCGTGTGTCTTGGTTAAAACAGTGGACAAGGCAGCCAAGTTGGAAACTGAGGTCAAACAGGCAGGTGGTGATATAGGGTCAGTGATAGATGGATGTAATGATGCGCTGGCCTTTTTAGGACATGCTAATCGTCAAATTAACATGATACGTAGAGACCTTTTGAAGCCCGAAATGAGAAATGAGTACAATCATCTGTGTACACATTCTCTACCATATACAAGTCAGCTTTTTGGTGACGATGTGTCAAAAACCGCTAAAGAGATAGAAGAGTGCTCAAGAATTGGGCACAAGCTTCAGTATGGACCTGTTAGAGGCAGTTTTAGGGGTAGACCTGGTTTCCGACCAAGACTACGAGGAACTTTCAATCGTACTGCTGTACGTGGTAGAGGTGGTTATGCATCCTCTGAGTATCAACAGGCATCAAAAAACCTCCAGCGCCGAGGGGGAGTCAGGAAATTTTAAATTTAAAGGTGAGTGACCTTTTTGTTGCTGGTCGACTTAAACATTTTGTGTTAGAATGGAAAAAACTTACTAATGACCCAGTTATTTTAGATATTGTGCAGAACTGTCATATCAAGTTTATACATGACTGTCCACCTAGACAAGAGCAAATTTATAGGCAATGTTTCAATACTAAAGAATCTCATATAATTGATAAAGAAATTGAAAAATTATGTAAATTAAAGGTTGTAGTACCAGTTGAATGGGATGAAAATCAGTTTATATCACCTATATTTTTACGACCAAAGAAAAATAATGAATATAGAATGATACTCAATTTGAAAAAATTAAACGAATATGTCCCATATCACCATTTTAAAATGGATACTTTTGAAACAGCTCTTACTTTAATTAGGAAAGATATGTTTATGTGTACTTCCGATATAAGGCACGCATATTATTCTGTCCCAGTGGCAGAGGAAAGTCAGGTTTTCTTAAGATTTCAATGGAAAGGACAAATTTATCAATACACATGTATCCCTAATGGCTATAGGGATGGTCCTCGGTTATTTACTAAGCTTCTGAAGCCAGTGTTTGCTAAGCTTAGGGCAGAAGGTCATATTTGTACAGGTTTCATTGATGATAGTTTGTTGTGTGGTGAATCTTACAATGATTGTTTACAAACTGTTCATGTATCTTATAATTTGTTGGAAAAACTGGGGTTTTTTCTAAATGAAGAAAAATCAGACTATATTCCATCCAAAAAGGTAATTTATCTCGGGTTTGTTATTGACTCGGATCTTATGTTGGTCACATTACCACAAGAAAAACAAGATCATATCAAAGAAATATGTAGAAGTCTTAAGAACAGTCATAAAGTTACAATTAGGGAAGTAGCCCGAGTTATTGGGGTTTTAGTAGCTTCATTTCCAGCTGTTGACTATGGGAAATTATATTACAGAGCTATGGAAAAGCAGAAAATTCAGGCATTAAAGTCTAATTATGGTAATTTTGAGGCTGAAATGATAATCACTTTAGAAATGAAACATGATTTGCAATGGTGGATCGATAACATAGATTCTCAAAGTAGAGTGATTGATCGGGGAAATCCGTCGGTAGAAATTCAGACGGACAGTAGTTTAAGTGGTTGGGGTGTTTATTATCAAGGTGAAAAATTTGGTGGTAGATGGACTAGTGAAGAGAAAAAATTTCACATAAATGTGTTGGAGTTAATTGCAATACTCTTTGCTTTGCAAGCACTGGTAGAAAAATTAAAAAATCAGCATGTAAAAATTTTATCTGACAGTTCAACAGCAGTGTCCTACATCAATAATATGGGTGGAATAAGGTCAGATAGTTGCAATAAGGTCAGTCGAGACATATGGGAGTATTGTATGTCAAAGAATATATGGTTGACATGTGCCCATATTCCTGGTTTACAAAATGAGGCAGATCTTCCCTCTCGGCAGTTTAAGGATAACATTGAATGGGCATTACAGACTAATATATTTGAAAAAATTTGTTGTATTTGGCAAAAGCCTGTTGTAGATTTGTTTTGCATCAAGGTTAAATAATAAATTATCTGTATATTGTTCTTGGAAGCCAGATCCATGTGCTTCTTACATTGATGCTTTGACTATAGATTGGGGAAAAATTCTCATGTTCAAATATGTTTCCTCCTTTCAGTATTTTTGAGTCGCTGCATTCGGAAAGTACAAATAGACAGGGCCAGAGGCATACTTATAGCGCCATTATGGCCAACACAGACGTGGTTTGCTCAACTGATGCGAGTACTAGTGGACTCGCCAATAATTCTTCAAAGGACAAAGCAGTCACTGATTGCTCCTCTGCAGGGAACAGAACACCCTATGTCACAGAAACTGGTTTTAATTGCATGTCTAGTGTCAGGAGAACATACAGAGAATGCGGTTTTTCTGAGCAAGCGACAAGTATTATCATGTCATCATGGAGAAGTGCCACAAAACGCAAGTATCAGGTCTATATATCGCGATGGATACACTTCTGTAATAGACAGAAAATTAATTCAGTTTCGGTTGATGTCCAAGATGTAATAGAGTTTCTAACATCTGAATTTAACAAAGGACTAAGTTATAGCTCTATAAATACTGCAAGGGCTGCTTTGTCTTCGTTAGGAATTATGTTGGGTTCATTTACAGCAGGTACACATCCCATGGTCATTAGATTTATGAGAGGAGTTTTCAATCGACGGCCCTCAATTCCAAAATACAATAATATATGGAATGTGGATAAAGTACTTTTGTTTCTGAAACAGTTGTCACCTGTAAAACATTTATCATTGAAGGAACTTACTTTAAAGCTGACCATGCTAATTGTACTTACCAATGCAGCCAGAGTACAGACAGTACATTTGCTTAGTGTAAATAAGTTACAGAAGTTGCGTTCAGAATTTATTTTGCAGTTCAAAGGTTTGTTAAAACAAAGCCGGCCTGGCTTTGATTGTTCTGAGTTACATTTGAAAGCATATCCTCCAGATAGGAGACTTTGTGTTTTACTGTTTTAAAAGAATATTTGTTAAGAACAAAGACATTGAGACAAAATAATGAAGATGCTCTTTTGATTAGTTTATATCAAACCATTTAAACCTGTTTCCAGTAACACCATTTCTAGATGGGTAAAAACTGTTATGATACGTGCAGGAATTAGTGAAATGTTTGGTGCATATAGTGCCAGATCTGCTGCAGTTAGTAAAGCAAATTTAAATGGAGTTCCTATACAAGAGATCATGAAAAAGGCCGGGTGGTCAAATCAGAGTACGTTTGCAAAGTTTTACAACAAGAAGGTATTACAACAGGGAGAATTTGAGAATAAAGTTCTAAAGTGTTAAGGTATGTGTTTTGGGCATTATTTTGCTTTTAAAATCTCATTTAATACCGTAGTTATTCTAAAGCGAAATAGAATTAAAAAATTAAACGAGACTTACCTTGGTTAAGTTCGATGTTTGATTGTAATTCTATGAGGTTATAGAATTACGAGGGATTAAATGCCTCCCTCCCTCCCAGCTTTGAGAAATACCAGGTTATGAACATATTCTATAGAATTTACAGATATTCAAATCATATTGTTAAAATAATCCCCAAAACTGTTAAAGACTGATTGGCGCATGCGCGGGACACATCTCATTTAATCCCTCGTAATTCTATAACCTCATAGAATTACAATCAAACATCGACTTTACCAAAGTAATTCTCGTTTAATTTTTTAATTCCTTTCCTTGTTGGTCTTGCTCATTTAATCCCTCGTAATTCTATAACCTCATAGAATTACAATCAAACATCGACTTAACCAAGGTAAGTCTCGTTTAATTTTTTAATTCCTTTCCTTGTTGGTCTTGTTTATCATATTTTACAGTAAAAGTTTATACAAATTATCGACGGGAAATATATGTGTTTTGATTTAATGCAAATGATGAGTACTCTTTAAGGGCGGTAACTTTTCCATTTTCGCTTCAAACTAGAACATTTCTTCTTAAATTGAGTATACTATCCTAAAAAGAATGATGCTTTCGCGCAGGATTGATTCTGTTATGATTTGATGATGGGCCACTTAATTCTTACACTCCTGCCCAATTCCTGGTAAATATAGTACCATCAGAATAAAATTGAAAAATTAAAACATTCCACATACCACTTAAATATTTTACAAAAGATTGACTATATTTTCCTTTGGATAGCAAATTGAAATACACCCGATCCATTACTCATTATTATACCAAGAATTTACGCATTTTTGGACTAGCAGTTTGTTAAGGACGGCGAATTTGGTTTGGGGCGAAATGTCTGTTTGCTCGAGATGATCTTGTTGCGTTAACGGAATATTTTTAACAAATAACAATGTTATTAGGGGTGCCCTCCCATAACATTTGTACCAATGCATCTCCCATCATTTCCTTGTCTATTTCCTTAGCAAGTCCTTTATCACGCAGACTGCAGATACTAGAAGAAACCGGAACTAAAAATGTAATTGCAACCATAATTTTATAACAAAAGTTTATGGTGTTTAAAAGTTATATATAGTTAACAAGTAAAGTCTGTTATTTATGTTTATTAATAAGTATATTGTAATATGCCGCTTTTCATGGGAATGTGTACTAACGTGTACACATTAAAGGGGTTCCATGATTAACCACCATATGAACATATAAATGCGGCATGGTTTTCAAAATTTTAAATTTTACCAGTTTATGAATGAAATGTTAACATACTGCTTAAGCCGGTGCTAGGGAAAACGTTCGGCGTAAGGTTTTGCAACCCTTACCAGTAAAAGTAAAGTTAATTCGCATTTTATAGTCTAAGTTTCATGCTTACGCAACGTTCACCGACTTTACAGCTACTAGTATTACCCCTGGTCATCGGGCTACTGATATCTATATCTATCAATCTCCCTAGGGAGTCTTTTAACTCCGCTTAGTGCAGCCGGACACTTTGGCGCAACGGAATTATACCCACCCTCGCAGGTATCCATTTTACAACCTGGGTGAAGTGAAGCAATCGCAGGCTTAAATTTCTTGCTCAAGGGAATTAGCAGTGCGCCCTGGTATGGGGTCGAACTCAGGACAATCTCGATCCCTAAGCGCGCGTCCTACCACTGGACAACCAGTACCGTCCATGAAAAGGCTCAGAATTTTCAAATTTGCAGTGTTGGGGGCTTTCTCTAGGGATTCTTATTTTTCTCTGGTTATATAAACTACCACTCAAGCCTTTATTATTATTATTTAGCATAAATGATTATATTTGATCCTTGATCTCATAATTATTGTCATTTTAAAAAAAATGTTATATACAATCTATTCCCCTAAATTAATTAGGACCCGTGGTTGAAAAGATATTCTTTGCGTAAACTTATAAAATTGCAAATATTATAGCCCTTAATATATCATTTGCCATGTATAAATTTATAAAAAAAAATTCAAAGAAAAAATGTTTTTTTTATTGATAATATTTTGCCATGGCAAACTTTTATGCAATTACCATGGCAAACTTTTGCCATGGACATGCCATGGCATTTCTAATTTCTAATTCTAGTTTCTAATCAAATTTTTCATGGCATTTCTATGGCAAAAAAGTGCCATGGCAAAATGAAAAGAAATGAGAGATTGCAATAAAACATAACAATAGGAACCAATAACATGTTCATAGGATAAGTTTTAAGAATGTTTTGTGATGTTTTAAAAAAAATAATTGCCATGGCAAATTTGCCATGGCCAAAAGTAGGAAAAAATCTTGCCATGGCAAATTCTAATTTGCCATGGCAAAATCCCGAAATGCAAACTTTCAATGCATTTTTACAAAAAAGTAATTAAAAGATAGAAAAACAAAACATATTAACTTTTAAACATTTTAGTAAATATGACAATTTAAGATAGTTTTCATTTTTTTAAAGCGCGTATAAATAGGGGTTGAATTTGCCAAAAACTGGCGCGGCAAAAAGAAACCGGCAGCTATTGATAATATAATTGTAAAAAACTATCAAGGGAGAAGAAGCCTGACCAAGTAAACCTTAATTATGCATGACTACCAATCCATCCAAACGGTTAAAAAAAGGTTTCAAATAACTGTCGATCTAAAATAGTTAACGGTGCTTTTTAAATAAATAAACGTGCTGTTGAAACAATTTGTGTTGGATTAAATTGTTTGGTGATTATTTTGCATAGAAAATAAAATCTGGGCGCAGAAATGGACTGACAGCAACTATTTTTCATAGCTTTTCTGTTTTCAATCAGCTGCTGTAAAATGTACAAACAATGATTAGATAGTTTGTTTAAGATATTGTTAAAGAAATATTAAACATAAAAGTTGCATTTACGTCATATCAATATTCTAATCTGGTTGAAATATTGAATACTCTTTGTTCATAGGCATAGCGAATTCAAAGACATCTACTTAAACGAAAAAAAATCATTTTTTGACATTTCTAAAAACGGAAATAATCAGTTGCTCTTGATGGATAATGTGTTAAGATCAGTTTGTACTTAAATTACATCATTTTCTTTTACCCCATTCTCTCGGTTAATGTTAGAAGAAGAGCAGGGACAACATTTATACCAGGCACCTAAGAGTGACTTAATGGCAATAGCTAAAAAGATGATAAATTGTTGTGACAGCGAATTTTCCTGATAAGAAGCTTTGCGAGAAGATCACAAATCCCGCGTTTATCGTTAAAACTAGCTCTGTTTGATGCACGAACATTGACCTCTCTTCCATTACGTAAGAGTAATTTAATTGTACAATGTTGTGCTATCATTTTTCTAGCCCATATGGAATATCTATGGCTAAATTCAGCTTAGTCGGATAATAACCTGCACAACTACCGTGTTGCTTACTCAAAGATTTCTTTATATTTTTGTTATTGAAGTAGTACAAGTTGCATGCAGATAGCTTTATTACACCCTTGAAACTATCTTAGCTTATATATTTTTTACAATGCCACGTTTGCTTCACTAACTCTGAGTATGGTTTGCTTGCGACAATGTGCAGTCTCAAGTTAGCATAATGCTAATTGTACATATGCATGTACTCTATGAATGTTTTTGTCT